TACGGTCACACCGTCACTACGACACTCGATGCCATGTTGCCAGTAAACAACGACAATTACGAGCCATCTGTAACGGCGACTTTCTGCAAAGGGCTAAAGAAGGACGCCAGTTGGTATGACACCGAATACATCAACAGCATAACAAGGAACCAAGCTACTACAACCTGTGCCACAGAAAATTTCAGTACAACCCAGGTGAGCGAGTGTGGATATGGACACCAATCCGACGCCGCGGCCTACCAGAAAAGCTTTTTTGTCGATAGTTAGGTCCCTATAAGTTTCTCCGACGAATTAGTGACCTAAACTACGAAGTCATCGCCGATGGACACATCCGTTTAAAGCGGCAAAACAGCGCAGAAGTCGTGCACGTCGTTGTATGATGATTTATTATAAAAGGCAATGAAAAAGCTCCCTTTTTTGTTTGCCTCCCTCCATCGCGCATCAGTACGATGCGTATTTCGGAGAGGGACTAATGCCACAGCAACGCCTCCTAGAAAAATTATGCCTGGAACGTGCAACGTTACTAGAACAAGGTTGGGAACGTGAGCCGCGAACGTACCGCCCTACCCTCGGATTTTACCCTCCCTCTCCGGTACGAAGACGAATGCCTTTGGCGGTCACCCCTGTCACGTGACAGAGTGGTACGGTAATCTCACGTGACAGAGTGGTACGGAGGCGAGCGGTGCCACGTAGCAGACGGTCGCAACATGCGGCAGGAGGCATAGCCTTCGAATTTTTGTTTTGGCAGGAAGCTCTCAATTGAAAAGAGAGCCACGTTCCAGGCATAGTTTTTCTAGGAGGCGTTGGCCACAGAGACTAGTTACACTATCCGATATTATGAATAATTGGCGTCCAAAGTGTTGTGCGCGCTCATGCTTGTGGCCAACGTTACTAGACTAGGTTGCTTGTGGCTGCACAACTCATGCCTCTCGTTCACGGGCACGAGTAAGTGTGGGTTGGATCTGCGAAGTAGAAGGCGCGTTAGCGGACGAACAGTTTTTGTTTTGGAACGCTCTAGCGGACTCTTACATTTTTTGCAGATAAATTTCAGTGCACTAGTTCGCCCATAATAAACTAGTTTCTGGTGTTTTTTTCTTTTGAACCCGTTACAATATAAAAAAAAACACGCACGTACGCCATCTCAAACCACCCCTGTTACCATCAACAATTATGATTTGTTATTATTATTTCATTTGAGTATATAGGAAACACAAAGACAAAGGAAAGAGGGAGAAAACAAGCTGACAACTGGCATTTATAGGGGCACAACGCCTGCCTGCTCTTTCGGGAAGGGGACATAGCGACACGCAATGAAAATAACCACTCACATAATAGATGAAACACGCATGCGCAGAGAGTTTCCGCAATGTCGCATGAAACACAGCAAAAAGTTCGTGGGCTGCGCAATGGGAGTTGTTTACATGACTCCTTTTAGCTGTGGTAAAGTGTACATCGGTAAGTCGGGAAGGTGCGTCAATGTTCGTCTCAGAGAGCACGATTCTTCTTTGAAATCTTTGGGTGCATCGCATTTCGTGGCTCATTGCAGAGAGTGCGGTTGTTATTCTCTTTTTCAGGATACTGAAGTGGTTGTCCGATCTAAAAATAAATTAACTCGTGAGTTGACAGAAGCTTTCCACATAAGAAAAAGAGGGGAACAATGCGTCAGCCAGCCTTCGGTTTTGCTGCACGATAAAGAGTTTGCTTTTCTAGATTATGTTCCGAGAAAATCTTTCTTCTTTTACCCTATGTTCTCGATGTGCCACGGGTGTACTTTTTTGCCTGCACACGCATGCGTTGTTTTTTAATTGCCTGTAAATATATTCTGCCTTTCTAATAAACAGCTTAGTTGCGAGAAAGCGCTTGTCCTCTCTTCCTTTCTGTTTATTTATGCGCTTGAACTGACAGTTATACCATGCATATCCAACTAGCCCAACTTTCGATTCTGTTGAAAAAAACAAGTTTCAAGCCCCCTACCCCCAAAAAAAGCGAAGAAAAAAAACAAAAAAGGGAAGTGCACTGAGTTACGTTACGTCCAAAAAAAAGCAAATACCGAATCTGTTGGTATAACAAACGCCTGGCTGACGCGCTTTTCGCCCCCTTTCTTAATTCAATACGCTTCCATAATTTCGCTCGTCGCTTGCTCCTTGTGCCTGTCAAATTTTATTGTGCCTGGAAATTTTGACTGGCAAGTGCACTCCTTGCAGTGCATCGCCAAGTGCGAGTACGGGCCCCCCTTTAGTGAACTGCCATGTTCACGAAGGCGCACATTCAGGCAACGACCTGTTTGATTGGTGTCATTCTAATGTGAAAGGGGTTTCATACACATCATTTTCGCACTCAACGTACCTGCTGCCACGTTTTATGCTACATCTATATGTTTCTCCTGCTCTTTTCTTCTGGCTAGCCTTTCTACTGCCAGGCCAATCTTCGATAGTTTGTTTCACTCTGAAAAAACAACACACACGCCATACCTTGATGGAACTTTTTTTAACCGATGTGAAATGTTGCGCAGATAAGGAATGACCACCGTCCACTTTTTTTCACCCTCATGTCTATCGCCTTCGTGTGTGCTGATCACACTGTATTCTTCACTTCCCGACCATTCTTTTCACAGGCCAATAAGAGACACTCATCTCGGTAACCAGCTCTCCTCAAGTGCTTGATCTGCGTGCAAACGCTCTCATTGCATGAGTGTTCGCTCTAATTCATTGAGTGGTGATTCCGTTCATTACTAGCTTGGAATGTGCTGAATAATAGCTTAGCAAAGGTTTTTCTGATCTAGGGTGATACATCCAACACGTGTTGAAGGAAGACAACCTAATTTCTAGGCCCAAAAACTGAATGCATCGTTCCTTTGGCGCCTCAAAGGTACACTCATAAGGTACCTTTCTTATCCCAAACCGTGGCACGACTACCGCTATCGGACAGGAACTTAGAAAAAGGTCCAAGTTTCTTTGCTGTGTATTGTATTGTATTGATAGACGAAAACACATTCACGCAGTCAGACAAAGGTCCATGTTTCTTTGCTGTGTATTGTATTGTATTGATAGACAAAAACACATTCACGCAGTCAGTACTGTACCTCAGTTTTTCCTCGTCCCGGGCACGGCTGGCCGTAAACCTGGCCACTTCTACTTTCTCGGCAAGGTACATAGAGAGCCGGCTCCGCACAGAACTGGGGGTCCGTGTTGAACGGCCATGTTGCACCTTTGATTAAGTTGTGGTAATAGTCCACAATTTCACGGAAAGAATACACCAGATTGAACTCAAGGTCATCCTGATCAGGAAAGGTGAGTGGGAATGCCCGGTGAGAGTGTGTTGAATTTCCTGCGCTCATGGCACAAGAACGGTAAAAACTACAAGCAAGCGAGCTTGTGTCTTGTTCGAAAGAAGACAACGATACGCATTTTGTTCTGAATAAGTGGCAATATGGTTGCACTCCTTTCATATAACTTTGGTGCCTTAGTTTTCTTTTTTTTCTATCTATACTGAAAATGAAAAAAAAAGTCTCACTGAATTAAGTCATCGATTCTTGGCTGATCCTCCTGAGTAGGCACGAGCCATGGCTATGAATTCATCATCATCATCGTCATTTTTACGTTCTGCTCATGCGGCGCTAATAAACGTCTGTCTGATTTCTTAAAACGGTTTCGGTTGTTGAGTTGGCGACATATTTTACATTTGGTGCTGAGACTCAGAAACGCACTAAAAACCTTTAGGCGGACGTCGAGGTCGTCGTCGATTCAAGACCTCTCACGCTTATTGAATCCATAGACGGCCAACTAAGCACTTTGATGCTGGCTTATCTGTTAATTGGCCGAAGATTCACAACGTTACCACTAGGCAGCATCGAGGAAACGAATGTCTCAACGCGTTAGGAGGCCACCCGCAGACATAAGTATAGCACCAGACAGAAACGTTTTCTAAGCGATGAATCAAAGAAAAATTGCTCTAACTGAGATCAGCGCACTTCTGCGAGAAAGGCTGCGCGAAGAAAGTTAAGGAAGGTGGTGTTGCACTCACACATGTTCAAAACCTTCCACGTCAAATGTGGCACCTTGCTAGGGTGATCGAAGTCTAGAAAAGAGATGATGGTCCCGTTCACTCGTGCAAGATAAAACGACGAGACGGCCTTGTGACTACGAAGGCAACACAAGGACTATACCCGTCAGAAATACAGGCGTGACACGACTGGGCGGCTGGGAATATTGAATTTTCCACGCTCGTCTCACAAAAAGATAAAAAACCACAAGCAAGTGAGCTCGTTAGCTCTTCCGAAGAAGACGACGAGACGCATTTTTTTTACGTTATGGGCTCTTGTGGACGCTAATAAACGACGGCATAAGTTTTTAAGTTGGTGTCGGTTTTTCAGTTGGCCACATATTTTACATTTCGTGTCGTTAAACCCGGGAGGCGACAGCCGGGAGCCGTCGTCAAAAAGCGACATCGCTGGTGGCTTCCGACTGGAAGAGTCACAAACTACACTCATAGTCAAATCCTGGCTAGAATACACGTCTGCAGGCAGGAAATCAAGTCAAATTATGGCCGCTTCTACGCGGCTTTATAGCCATGTCCCAGAGAAAACGGCCTGATTAGAAGTGGCCTTCAGAATAACAGGGACAAGCATTAGCCAGGATTTTAGGCTAAATTTTTCCTGGCAAGATACGGCCTGCGTTTAGGCGTGACATTTCCGTAGGCGGCCCCGCCCTTACGTGGTGGCGGAAAAAAAGCAGTATTTTACGCATTCGAGAGCGGTTTCTCGCCGATATTGCGCTGGTTATTATGAGTACGGGTATTTATACAACCATTATTATCCCTATCATCTACATCTGCGAGATTAACACACAAAGCACACTCAGCACTGGAATCTAACTCGTGACCACACGGACGTGAAGCAAATGTCCTCCCCATGGCAACACAGCGCCACCGCATGAAGGCGAGCTTTTTGCGGGGATATATATATATCTACCAAGTGGCTTTTTGCAAACCGTTGGCGGAACCTTGAACTGTTTTCGTTGCATTTGTTGTGTTGCATTGATTTGATCAGCGAATACTTTGTAGGGCTTCATGAACTCGAGACAACCACGGTAAGCGCTTTCGGCTCCGACTTCGGTTCGTGGTGCCCCGTTCCACAAGTACGGTTACGTGTGTTTGTGGGCCGTTTTAGTGGTTTCCTGTGAAACGCGGGTGTTTCGCTCAACGAAATTCGTGGACGAAGCGGTGTTCGGCTGTTGAAATCTACGCATGTTACTCGCACACGCATGTGCCGTGAGTAATTGCGCAGATTTGTGTCGGGAGGTACACGCGTGTCACTGACAGCATTCTATTCTCAGCTGTTTGAAGACAATGGGCTTTCGAACGTAAACATTACATGGGTATTTTACCATGCCTACTCTAACATTTGCATTTCGTACGCGCGAACTGCCGCGACCTGCACGCTGGAGCCGCAGTGCCTTTTTAGCGGTTCGACGATTACTTACTTCCGAAATTACTATTTATGCGCTATTTTTCGCGATATGGAGTAGTTTTTACTCATTTTTGGTCATTAACTGATGCTATTTATCGGGAACGGCTACTCTTATATACAAGTAGACCAGAAAATGATCACGACCACAGTTAGTTTTTTCTTGCCATTGGTCTCCGCGATTGCCGAAGCTGCCTCGGAGGCCTCGGTTTGCCTTTCATTGTACACCGATAAAGTGGACATGCATGTATCCTCATCTGAAGTATATACAAACGGATGACAACTATCAACAGGACAGTCTAGCATGCGTTGAATAAAACATTTCAACGCACAAGAATCGAGACGTCAATGAAGAATGCAGCAGCAAAGGTGCCAGGGCTATTCGTGCCGGAAAAAGCGAGCTTCATAAAATAAATCGCTCGTGCACGTGCCTTTCGTCACTTTCGCGCCAAGTGTACGCCAAACGGAAATTTCGACGCGTAAGGAGGCCACCCAGAGACTCACTACAGAACGTGCCTGATAGACAACTTTTTGGAAGCGATGGATCAAAGAATTGCTACAACTGAGATCAGCGCACTTCTGGGATAAAGAGTATGCGAAGAAAATTAAAGAAGGCGATGTTGCAGTCGTACGTGCTGAAAACTATCCACGTTAAATGTGGCACCTTGCAAGGGTGATCCAAATCTACGAAGGAGACGATGGTCACGTTCGCTCGTGCAAGATAAAGTGACAAGATGGCCTTATGACTACGAAGGCAATACAACGACTGTACCCTGTAGAATTACAGGTGTGACGCCCCTGCGCGGCCGTGAATGCTGAATTCCCCGCGCTCATCGCACAAGAAGAAAAACTACAAGTGAGTGAGCTCGTAAGCTCTGTGAAAAAAAGACGACGAGAAGCATTATCTTTATGTTCTGGGCCCATGCGGACGCTAATAAACGTATGTTTGAGTTCTTAAAGTCGTGTTTGTTGTTCAGCTGGCCACATATTTTACAGAGAGCGCACGGGTGGTGGCGTCGGCTGCCTCATTATCTTCAAGTCCCATGTGAGCAGGCGCCCAGGCTCTACGGCGGCGTGCAGAGATTACAGTCAGAACGTTGTCATAGGCGACAGGCCAGGTACGCGAAAAAGCCGTTCACGATGTTTAGGCAAGCCCCTCGAGAGATGATGGTTTGCGACCTGGGGTGACTAGCGGCCAATGCAATGGCGACTTCCTCCGCGTGGAATATGTCCCGGGCTCGAAAAGTCAGCCGATTAACCGAGCCGTCTCCGAGCCCTATGAGACAGTTCTGTTTTAATAAATACACTAACCTGTGCCTATGTTGCATTTCTTGAATAATTAGTAGTAATCACTCTTGTTTTCCTGTATATGTATATGCATGTATGTGCACGCACACACAAGCACACGCAAGCGCACGCAAACGCACACAAACGCACACACGCACACACACAAACACGCGCACACACACACAAACACTGGTCGTGTACCAGCCCCCCTGGTGTGTGCCAGATCGAGGGGTGTATACGTACAACACGCCGCATTTAGATCCATAATAGCGGGCAGGGCTTCCGCCTGCACCAGGGGCAGTGAATTCTGGTCTTTTTTTTTTTGTGACATTGCCTGTAAAAGGGCACACGGGGAGGGCGCATCTCCATTCGAAAGGGAGTTGAACGCAATATTCCGTAATGTGAATGTGTTGAATGTGCAGGTGGGCTAATAGGCGGCAGCCCACTGCGTCTGGGAGAGTCGAATGTACTGATTTGAGAAGTGGACCTCTCGAAGCTCCTGAAACATATTTAGCATGCCCAGGGCCTAGAAGGTGCTGGTTAGAGGTGTTCACGGGGAGGTCGAAGGTTTGCGTTACAATTTGCGAAGGATGACTTCAAGTACATCGTCTTGCATGCTTCCGCAAGTGGAAGTATGAGGTAGAATTTCAGATTCTACTGGTTATAATTGCATGTGCAGCCACAATGCATATCTCTGAATCGGAGATCCCCGTGTTAATTTGAGACCCGGCGGACCATTCAACCCTCCTTGTCGCCCACCTTCCGGAGTTTGGCCATTGTTGTGTCTGACCTTTTGTTTTGGTTATTAAAGAGCCCCAGTACCTGTACTTCTTTTTAGTTCGGGGATTGGACCTGTCCCTAGTGAAAGTTCAGTTTCGACCGCGCACTTGCGTGAGAAGCGTATGGAGACGAATTCTGACTTGGATGGCGAGTACTAAAGGCCACACTGGCGGTCGACTATGCTCGCGGCAATGCTGCAGGTTCACCTGAATATTTCCGAGTGTACCCCGCCTGGCCAAAACGGGGATGTCATCAGCGTACAACGCACGTTGAATGCCGGGAACATCAACCAGCTAAGCTGGCAGGTGTATCATGGCCAGATTGAATAATAAAGGAGACAGCGCTGCACCTTGAGGTGTACCTCTTATTACTAAAGAGAAAGGGTCATATTCCTTGTCCTGTATGGGAATGTAGGATTGTCTCTTGGTTAAAAACTGCCGAGCGTATTTCAACGCTCTCAAGCCAAAGCTGCTTTGTGAAAGGTGTGTTGAAATCACCTTGTGGGTTATATTGGCAAACGCCTGTTTCATGCCCAACGCGATTAGAACGTTGTCGTTGTGAGGGAATTCGACAGGGTCTGGAATATCCAGATTAGATTGAAGCGGAATGTCTTGCGCGAAGCTGTACGGGGGACACCCGCGCATAAAATCTGCGAAAATACGTTGATTCCCCGTGAAATCAGACAAACGATTCCGCACCACCGTCTTGATTAGTTCGCTCGTGAGAGAGAGAGAGAGAGAAATAATTAAAAGGAAGATACAGGGAGGTTAACCTAGACGAACTGGTTTGCTACCCTGTACGGGGGTGGGGAAAAGGGTTGGAAAGAGGATAGATATAAAATAAATTAGGAAAAAAAAACACATGCACACACATTCAGGGAGTTCCAATCACAGTCGTTTGGACAGGCCGGTTGAACGCAAGAAGCGCAGGAGCGTCTTCACAGCCTTCTTCTGTGACATAAAGTCCTGTCGGCAGCGCAGGAGTCTTTCTTCCGAAAGAGGCTGATTGTCCGGTTCATCTAGTGCACTGCAGAGTGACTGTCTCTGCGAGCAGTATTGTGGGCATTCACACAGAATGTGCCAAGTTGTTTCATCACTGCCACAATGGTCACATGCAGCAGTGTCAGCCGTTCCTATGCGGAACGCGTACGCATTGGTAATGCGTAAATGATGTGAGAAAAACGAGGCGAAGGTTGTCCGTGTTCACGGATTTTCCAGGTTTCGGCATAGATGTGACTAGGGAAGTCTTCCACCGTATGGGAAGTGGTATCCCCTCTGACCAAATTGAGTTGAAATAATCTTATAGTAATTTTTATGCCTGGTCGGGAAGGTTAGCTAAGATTTTACAGTAATTTTGTCACAAGCCACAGCGGTACCAGGTTTAATTTTAGACAGGGCCTTCCTAAGTTCGAAAAGCTTCGATGGGCGGTTCAGTTCATCGTTATCTGCACCCGCGTAGGGGTACGCCAATCCCCAGGAGTCCTGTGTGGAGCACAGATATTAGTCCCCTATTTGTGCGCCAGCTGAGTTGCATTGCCTTGAAAGCTATGAATTGTCCTTTGTAGGTGTTTCTGAGTTTCGATGCGGGTCTGCGTTGAGTCTATGAGCGTGCGAAATTGCCTTCGAGTATTTTTGCCGGAGACCTGGCACGCTGCCGTGTTGCATCTATTCACTCACTTGGCATCCGTTAGTTGGGCTGCACACTCGGCCGGCTCCTGGAGGAGCTCAGATATTCGAGCAATAAATTTACTGTTATTTTTTTGTCGGTGCCATCGGTGAACAAGGCAATGCGTGCTTTCCAGAGGTGATGTAGAAGGTTATCCACGACCGAGATCACCTTTGAAATCTGAATGTTGGTTTCAGTGGAGCGAAGGTTATTCGTAGGGCCACGCGTCACAGCCTCGCTCGAGTATCGTTGTTGCTGTGTTATAATTTTGCCTAAATTTTGACCAGTCTGGGAACCAGGCCTGAGATATGGGATGTGCCAATAGTTTGGTCTTGACTATTGTATTCAGCCTTCCCAGACGCAGTCATTCTTATGTATTCATGCCAGGGAAGACCGAGGTGTGATGGATGTTGAGTGGCCTAGAGCCGGTATGCAAGTGTAAAACATTATTCTAAGAGAGATGTATTCTGCTTAAACAATGGGGACAATCATATGTGCAAAGAAGGAACTTCATGTAACACTGGACACAAACGGTATGGGCCTCACCAGAACACAGAGGAGAAACATCATGCACATTATCGCACTACCCCAACCTCTGTCCTTGTGAAATGCGAGCTGTTCGTACCTTATAATATTAACCAAGTAGCTTGAGATGCGTTATTCTTTATGGAGCAAGCTATGCTTACTCATTTTTATTGATAGTATTTTAACACACCTTTTAACAGAATAAAGGCATGGACGAGAACATAGGTAGAAAATTTCATTGGACACATGCTGGACTAACAACTGCAAGTCTCCAATTGGAATATGTTTTACAGCAATCGCAAATGTTAGTATGGTCGGGCTGCATGCACCCCTTGTATGCAGATTTTTAGGTCCTGTCGAGGAGGTTAAACTCTCAAACACGTTGGCAGATAGAAGAGAAATGCAGGGAAAAAGGACAAAGTTCAGTCTTCATATATGTTTTATTTGTTGGGTTGCGCATTGAGCTGCTAGAGAGAGATGCTAAAAAGCACTATGCATGCGCGAACGCTACCTTTTTTTGTATTCTTCAGATAGTATTTCGTTTGTTTACCGCCTGTCTTACGTAATACTTCTATGGGCTTTATTGCCTCCTCAGCTGCGCTTTCATTTTTTTTTCCAATATGAGCGAACTCACCCAGTTTTACACTAGTTTACATATCAATATACCTTTTATGCAAACTGTAACAAGCCACGTCTGTCAATATACGCGCACGATGTGCAGTAGTTGTTTAAATTACTGTACATCGAATAATGCGAGCAGCATATAACCTCACAGACCGAAGAAAGAATCAGCATGACCATGTGACCTGATTTTGTCAGCATTTGCCAGTAGTATCACATGGCCTGACTCGCTCACGCAATCGCTTCATGCAATTGGCGGTGAAGTCGAATTGGTCGGCCCCGCGCCGACAACGTATATCTGAGTCTTTCCTTCGGCTGCGCACGGCGCTGTATTAAATATTGCTGCGGCGACCTTTTAAAGCTTTCGGTACCGACGGTCCAAGAAGAGCATGCCAAAGTCATAGTTGCTTTCGTAGTTTTTTCTACAGTAGAAAGGTTGGCTTCTTCGCCCAAAACGCTTCCTTTGAAAACGTAGAACGATCCATTGCCTGTTTTGCGAGGGGTTGCTAGCTTTCTATTCCTTCGAATCGACCAACGAACGAACGAGTAATGTCACCACACTAACGATACAAAGAACTGTTCAGCGACGAGTGAAATGCAAAGGAAGTGTACCGAAGACGAAATACTGGCAACGCCGCACACACGCTGGGGCAGCGATGAAGAATCTCGGAATGATGGCCGCCGTAGACTTTGCTTCTGTGAAGCAAGCGCGCGCTCCCCGAACAGACGCCACCGGCGTACCCTTTCAGCATACCTGAGGCACGGCCGCTCGATGAAAAACGCACGGCGCAGCAGTGCCCGAGCTGCCCAAGCGTCTGGCACATCCAGTGCGCCCGCGTGCTTTCGCACTCGTAGTTTCCTGGTGGGCACTCTAGAGGCGCTGCTGTGGCTGCTGGGAGAGGAGGTAGAGGCGAAGGGGTGCGGTTGGCGCTACTTTACTTTTCAGGGACTTTACCGCGGCGCGTTTCTGCTTTAAACACCCAAAGTGGATCTACTAACCTTACTCGCCACTAGCGCTATTGCTGAATGAATGGATGGATGGATATGGCTGTACCCTTTAGATCAGGCGGTGGCTAGCACCACCAAGCCGTAATACTTTATGAACCAAAAACTAGATTTATTTTTTTTCCTTAAATAGTGAGGTTGAGGATTCGTACTTTGCAGCGAAGAGTTCAATTTTCACTCGTGCCTTGACTTTAGTCACCAATCAGATAACCTCCTTCTAGTTAATTCTACCCTTTAAAGTCTATTTTGCCCTCACTATCCCTAAACCCCAGTGCTTTGAAAAACTCTGCGCCATCAACCTGAACTACAGTGTGAAGCCCTTTACAGAACATTATCAAGTGTTCGGCTGTTTCTTCTTCCTCTCCACACGCACTGCATACCATGTCTACCCCTTCGTATTTGGCCCGATATGTCTTTGTTCGCAATACTCCCGTCCTCGCCTCAAACAGTAGAGAACTACCCCTAGTATTATCATAGATCCTTTCCTTGGCTATTTTATGCTTAAAAGTTCGATAGATCTCTAGTGCGGACTTCTTAATCATGCCAATTCTTCACATATCGGTCTCAGCTTCCTTCACCTTCTTCTTAACCGATAATTCTTTTTGATTTGGCCCCCTGCTGTTTTACAAGTATTTACCAGTCAATTTTCTGGTTCGCTTCCACCATTTTGTATCGACATTTTTCATGTACAAGTAGCTGAATACCTTCCTAGCCCAACGCTCCTCCCCCATTTCTCTCAATCGCTTCTCAAATTTTATCTTGCTGCTAGCTTCCCTGCCCTCAAATGATGTCTATCCCATATCACCTTGTACTCCCTGATTTGGTGTATTCCCGTGAGCTCCTAAGGCAAGCCTACCTATTCTACGTTGCTTAATTTCTAATCTTGCTTGAATTTCTGATCTCATGCACAAGACCGCATTGCCGAACGTCAGCCCAGGAACCATGACCCCTTTCCATATTCCTCTCACAACATCATACCTATTGTAATTCCACAGTGCCCTATTTTTCATCACTGCTGCATTCCTGTTACCTTTAGTCGACACGTATATTTCGTGTTCCCTTAGGTACTTGGCCCCAATGTTTATCCATACGCCCAGATATTTGTTTTCATCTGTTATCTCTAGCGTGACCTCCTGTATTCTAAGCTCACTACCTTCATTGTCACTAAAAATTATGACTGCTGATTTTTCATTACTGAATCTGAAATCTAACATATCTCCCTCATTACCGCAAATGTCCACCAATATCTGCAAATCTTCCTTGTTGTCGGCCATTAGCACTATATCATCTGCGTACATCAATGCTGGTAGTGCCTGTTCAATGAGTTTTCCTTGTTTGATGAAAGAGAGGTTGAAGCCCAGTCCACTTCCCTCTAATTTGGCCTCTAATCCTAGTAGGTACTTCATGAATAACAAGGGTGACAGAGGACACCCCTGCCTAAGCCCCCGTTTCACCTCTGTGGGCTTAGATACCTGTTTTTCCCACTTTATAACTTCCTTGTTACTTTTATAGATCTCCTTTAAAAAATTAGTGACTACATCTTCCTCGTCTAGTGTGTCCAGTATTCCTCACAATTCCTCTTGAACCACGCTATCGTACCCTCCCTTGATATTCAAAAATGCTAGCCACAGGGGCCTGTGTTCCTTTTCTGCTATTTCGGTGCACTGCGTCAGTGAGAACAGATTGTCTTCCAACCTCCTGTGTTTCCGAAACCCATTCTGCAGTTCCCCTAGCACCCCCTCATCCTCTATCCATGCCTGCAGTCTTTCCTTTATAACCTGCATCGCCGACCTGTAGACCAGTGATGTCACTGTTATAGGACGGTAGTTGTTTATGTCAGCTTTGTCCCCCTTTACTTTATAGATCATGCTCATCCTGCTAAGTTTCCATCCATCGGGAACTTCTCCATCGATTATTATTTTGCTCATTGACTCTCTCAAAGCCTGCTTAGACTTCGGCCCTAATGTCTTTATCAGCATAATTGGAATGCCATCTGGGTCTGTTTATGTACTACTAGGAACCCTTTTCTCAGCCCTTTCCCACTCTCGTTGTGAAAATGGAGCCATTGCGCCACTTGATTCATCCTTGTCTATTGTGGTGCATAAAGCACATTTGTGTTGAAATTTTTCTGCCACCCTTGTTCTTATATATGCAATAGCTTCGTCCCCTTCTAGCCTAGCACCTTGAGCAGTAGTTATAAACCTCTTGTTTCCAAAATTTCGCAGCTGCCTTTCTATCTTTTTTATGTACTTCTGCCAGCCACTGGGCTCCTTTTCTTCTAATCTTTTCATTGATCAGAAGGGACGCATCCATTCTACGGCTTGCACTTTCTTGTAGGAGCACCCTTGTCGGGACCAACTTTCAATTCTAAAAGGATCAAATACTACATCTTCGCAAACTGCGACACATTAAAAGAACTTGTTCTTATAGAAAGTAGTTTTTCTTAATCACGTGCAGCGTCATCAATTTTTGTAATGATTTTTTTTCCAGCTGACTCGGTCAGCAGCAGCCTATCGACATCATTATTCTCATTTCAAGATATATCAAGGCTGCCAACAGTAGCAAGGGCACGTAACGGCTCGCGGTACGTTCGAATGTCTCGCACGATTTCCTTGTAAATATTCGAGCCATTGCCGACCGACATATTTTTTTTCGTTCTGTTAATTTTGACTCATTCAAATGCTTTCTCAAAGGGAATAGAAGTGACTTCAGGGGAACGAAGCGACTGTTGAAGCTTTCATCAGATGAAAACCCATTGCAAGCCAGAGAAATACGGGCCGGTGAGTAGTTTTTAAGGATGGTTGCTTGCTAGGCTAGTTGGTTCATTTCAACATATGTAGATTTTTTTTGCAATGACTTCGTAGGCGTCCCACGGTGGCAGTGCATTGCAATACTAAATTTGAAAAATTTTTTACGTCTCAATCTGTCCCCGGAAAAACGTGCGTTAGTGTCGGCGTGGCTTCTTTTGGAAACGAGTTGCTGGCTCAATAGTTAAATATGAAATTCTATCGCCAGGTAACACAAACCAGGCTGTTACGATGATAGAAGGCAAATACATCGCTGTCGCCTAGCATGTGTCTTTGTAACTATCCCATATATTAGTGCAAAAAAACGTTAGAGTTTACCGTAGTCACATTTGAGAAACATCACAAAATTATGGTTGTGGTTTTGCTATAGTGTAACAAAGAAAGCGTAACATATATCAGAAATACTTCTGTTTCTGCCAAAGCCTCCTGGCTTACCTGGCATGGAAGCAGCTGTTTACAGCAGGCAAGGAACCTGCTACATGATGAAGCAGCCCCGAGTGATACATGTGTTATGAGGTACCATTACATATATGTATAAAATACTGCTATTTACAAGAAAACTGAGTTTATTTGTTTACTTTGGAAAACTTCATGAATTGATATCTGGTGATCTTAGTAGGGTTGAGAGCTGGGCTAGTTGGTGAGACATCATTTAACCATATGGTGTAGTAGCGCAAATTCACGGGGACGAAGAGGACAAGAAAACACGACACTCGCTACACTCGCAACTAATTTTTATTTCAGAAGCAGCACTTCATATATAACCCATAATCCTAGCGACACAGAAAAGAACTACGAACACTGAATCATTGCCAACAGAAGCTTTTGCGCCGACTCAAGCGATAGTACACGGCAGTTAAGCTTAGACACTTTTAGATGACATAACTAAAAACAGCCCTGGGTAACATCAAATAAAAAAAAAACAAAAAACAAAAGAAACAAAACATTTTACGGTAATTCACACGTGTTTGAAACAAAATTTCGAAAGGACAAGAAGGAGAGTATGACACATGCAAACACTGATCTCAATTAAGTCCTTCGAGGTAGCTGGCTTCTCGGTTACTTAACGAAACCGATGACTGACTAATGCATCCTTCTTTTCTTTTTTTAATGTGAAAGGCTTCGACAATTTCTCTGGTTAGTTAATTTCCATGACGGAAGACTACGGTTGTGTCACTGTACAGTGGTGAGCAGCCACACTGGGAACAGTGTCTCTTTATGTGAGAATGAATGTCAGTTCCTAATGATCGCTTGTGTTCTAAAAGTCGGGTGTTCAAACAACGACCCGTCTGGCCGATGTATACCTTTCCACACGTTAGCGGCAAGCAATACACGACTGATAGGCTACACTTAACAAACTTTGTTGTGTGATTTACCGTACAACTACCAGCATTAGTGTTTACTGCTATGGAAACTTTACGGTCTAGTTAGGAACATATTTTACTAAGCTTGTTGGGTGCCGAAAAAACTAATTCTAGGCCATAGCGATTACCTACGTTTTTTAAGTTATGGGCAATCTTGTGCGCATATGGAACTGACAATATCTTCTTCCTGTTTTCATTACTTGTCATTTTTTTATGAAAGTTGTTGCGTACGTGACTAATCAGCTTGTTAGCTGATCTACACAACACGTGTTTTTCGTACCCAGCATTTTTCAGCCTGATAATTTGTTGGTTGAAGCTTTCGCTAATCTTTTCTGGACATGACTTTGTTAAGGCTGCTCTCAAACATGAAAAGGCTATGCCACTCTTTACAACTTTAGAATGTGCCGATCGGTAGCTAAGTAAGGGTTTTTCCGTTCGCGGATTGTATGACCAGCATACATGTTCTGCTGTGGCATCTAACTCAATATCCAAAATCTGCAGTTTGTCATTGACTGGTGATTCATGAGTAAATTCAAGCCCTCTACTATTTTTCTTGAAGACTTTCAAAACTTCTGCGACCATTTTATCCCGACCATCCGATTCAATAAAAACCAAAAAGTCATCTACAAACCGAAACACTTTGAGTGCAAGCCCTTTAAGGTTTATATCTATTGCCTTGTCCATTTTTGCTAAATAAAAAACGTAAGTAATCGCTATGGCCTAGAATTAGTTTTTTCGGCACCCAACAAGCTTAGTAAAATATGTTCCAAACTAGACCGTAAAGTTTCCGTAGCAGTAAACACTAATGCTGGTAGTTGTACGGTAAATCACACAACAAAGTTTGTTAAGTGTAGCCTATCAGTCGTGTATTGCTTGCCGCTAACGTGTGGAAAGGTATACATCGGCCAGACTGGTCGTTGTTTGAACACCCGACTTTTAGAACACAAGCGATCATTAGGAACTGACATTCATTCTCACATAAAGAGACACTGTTCCCAGTGTGGCTGCTCACCACTGTACAGTGACACAACCGTAGTCTTCCGTCATGGAAACCAACTAACCAGAGAAATTGTCGAAGCCTTTCACATTAAAAAAAGAAAAGAAGGATGCATTAGTCAGTCATTGGTTTCGTTAAGTAACCGAGAAGCCAGCTACCTCGAAGGACTTAATTGAGATCAGTGTTTGCATGTGTCATACTCTCCTTGTTGTTGTTTCAAAATTTTGTTTCAAACACGTGTGAATTCTCGCAAAATTTTTTGTTTCTTTTGTTTTTTTTTTGTTTTTTTTATTTGATGTTACCCAGGGCTGTTTTTACTTATGTCATCTAAAAGTGTCTAAGCTTAACTGCCGTGTACTATCCCTGAGTCTGCGCAAAAGCTTCTGTTGGCAATGATTCAGTGTTCGTAGTTCTTTTCTGTGTCGCTAGGGTTATGGGTTATATATGAAGTGCTGCTTCTGAAATAAAAACTAGTTGCGAGTGTAGCGAGTGTCGTGTTTTCTTGTCCTCTTCGTCCCCGTGAATTTGCGCTACTACACTGGTGATCTTACTTGTTTTTCCAGACTGCCATGCAACGACAGGATGACTACTCCCGAATGTCCACTATGTAAGCACGTTGACACATCCAAACGTCCACTACAACAGGTCATCTTGAACCTCACATATGCAATGCTGTATTTCTGAATGGTTTACCACGCATATCCTGGAGGGGTGCTTTAGATTGGCCACAAGCAATGGCTGTCTACCATGGCATGGAATCCACACTTCACTAACATTGAAACTGATACACTATTGGTTTGATTGGGTGGCAGTGCTGATCTCAACAACACAGGTTTGATCCCAGCCACAGTGGCCATATTTCGATGCGGGTGAAATGCTAAGACGCTTGTGTGCTTAAGCGTTTTTTCGATTCGCCTGCACCACATGATCCAATTTACAAAGTGCTGCATCGTCATTTGTTTCAATGTTGCAGCAATGGCATTCTCAGAACCATGCCATTCATTTCAAAAAAGCACACGAGAGGTACACTACTAAAACTAGTTTACGATTTTCCTGTACCTCCTACTCTGACGGCGCTGGTTTGGTGCAGCCGCACGGAAAGCTTAACAAGCTGACTTCCCTTTCTTCTCGTCGTAAGTTTTTTCGCCTGTGCCTTTTTCATAAAATCTTCCATAACAGCCCCCGCCTTCGTGCCAATCTTTTTCTCTCACCGTCCTACGTGTCCTCTCGCATCGATCATGCGCACAAAGTTGGTATACCGATATGCCAAACAAGAATGTGTTCAGAATCTTTTGTCCCACGCACCAGCAAAGACTGGAACCAGCTCCCTGGAGCGACTGCTGCGATTACTGACTATCAGCTGTTTCGCGCTGCACTAACAAACATTGTAAACTGAGGTTACTTATGACATGTGCCTTTTTCGTTTTTTTTTATGTTCTTGCGTGTTCTGATGTGTTTTGTAGCTAGAATTGTATACTAAGATTATTTAAAATATGTACACTAGATCTCTTTTGTTCTGCTTTTGTGTCCTAACTTTGTTATCAGCTAAAATTGATTATTCAGTAAACGTTGAATCCTGTACTCCCCTTTACTCACCTTCTGAATCCATTTTTTGTAAACCCACTCCCCTCTTCAATGCCTCTGGCCCTGAGGGTACAATAAATAAATAAATAAATAAATAAACACAGCATTAGCGTATGTGCCGTACCCGGCTCTACAAATGTGGTGTGTTTTGCCGAGTGTATGTTTGCACCTCAATAAATTAAGCGAACAAAAATGAGGATTCCACCTTGTCGGCACTTTATCATGCACTTGTGATGCCGCACTGCTGAACTCGTGCTGCAATTGTTCTGAACTTCTCGTGCACAGCTGTTAACCAGTTTCCAATGGTGCAGGTGAACTAAACTGGCCCTTAAAATCAGGACCTACATGGTGGTACGTAGGAGCTGAATAGGACATGGGCAGGGCATATAGAGGTACATAGGAGCTATGTAGGGATTATGGGTTTGGTATGTAGGTCCCATCTAGCACAATATAAGAGCTAATGGGGCTGAATGGGGGTCATACATAGGCCTTGCAGAGGGCTCAATGTCAATCTTGACAGTCAATGTAGGACATGAATAAACTCATTAGACCAAATACCTAGGCATGCATACATTTTTTTTTTTCATTGAAAGGTCCAAAATTCTCAGTTTTTCAGCTCTATTATTTGGCTGTACACAACCACAAGAAATAACCAATTTTAACTAGTGCATATCATGAGATGCAAACATGTGCTAAAGTATAACAGATAAGTATATCAGATAATTAACAAAGTACTTTATTGCATTTGATCTCCTTAGTTGTACATGTGTTATATTTGCACAAATAATGCTGTGCACTTCATGAAAAACCATTTTAAATGTTGTATTTCTGCAATGAAAAATCTTTCTATTAGAAATCTCTAACAATAAATAGTGATTGAGTAATTTCTTAATATATAAACAATACACAAGAAGATAAAAGACAATTCATCCTTAGATTCAGGAGAGATAAACCAAGTATAGCTCACATGCTCTGTCATTGCCCCAAGGCATAAAACACAAGGGGCCATGCAGGACTACCAAGGAAGAGTGCGAATGAGCTCTACACTGCTTGCACCTTGAGGCACAGCCCTGGCCTGTGCCTCGATGCATAAGTGCACACGACACGGTCGAAGGGCAAGGCGTCTCTGTTCTGACATAGCAACTGCGCTCTGTGGTCTAAACACACACACTGAAAGATTTCAATAGCCATTAATATATACAAGCACAAAATTATTACATAAAACACATTAAAAAAGGTTTTGCAGTAGTGGTGTTGTTGAACCAAAACTACATCAAATATTCAGATCAATTTTCCATGCACTGCTTGAAATGGTCGATCTGAGAGTTTGGTTGGCTTGGCACAAGCTTGCTCAATTCTGAACAGTACTTGGCTAAGTTTATTCCTAAGAATCAGAATAAGGACAAATAATTATCAAAATTTCGTTTCGCATGCTTCCATTTGAGCGTTTGAAAACAGCTTGTTGCACGTATGCATGAAATCATCTTCACCACTGGCCAACTAAGTATTTCTTATGGTACTCACGTCTTAAAACAAAATTGATTCAGATATTCAGTTTAAGTTTCAACACATTACTTCAAATAGTTGAACGAGTGATTGCTTGCTTGCTCGTGAAGTGTACTTGGCTGTGTTTATTGCTCAAAAGCTGAATAGGAGCAAATAGTTCTCAAGTTTTTCTTTCTTGTGCTTCAACCTGAACCTCTGAAAACAGCTTGTTGTATGCATTTATTTACCACATCATTTCAACTGAACAGCTAATGGTCACGGTACTCATGTCTTGCAAACAAGAGTGGCTCAAGTCGTTGTTTTGAGCTTCCACGCATTGCTTGAAATGGTTGACAAGAGTGTTTAGTGGCACAAGCTTATTGTTCCTGATACGTGGCTGTACTATCAGAGAGAACGTGCACAATAGCAAATAATTCTCCACGCTTTATTTTGTGTGCTTATATCTGAATCCTTGCAAAACAGCTTGTTGTATGCATTCATGTACCGTATTATTTCAACTGAACAGCTAATAGTCACAATAATCATGGCTTGAAAACAAGAGTGGCTCATGTTGTTTTGAGCTTCCACGCATTGCTTTAAATGGTTTATTAGTGTTTTTGGTGGCACAAATTTTCTTCTTCCTGATACTTGGCTGGGCTATCACAGAGAAGGTGCACATGAGCAAATAATTCTCCACGCTTTGTTTCGTGCACTTCCATCCGAACCTTTGAAAACCGCATGTTCTACGCTTTCAAAGGTTCAAGCTTGTGCCACCAAACACACTGATAAAACATTTAAAGCAATGCGTGGAAGCTCAAAACAACATAAGCCACTCTTTTTTGCAAGACGTGAGTACCGTGACCATTAGCTCTTCAGCTGGAATGATGTGGTACATGAGTGTGCATTGCTTGAAATGTGTCATATGAGTAATTGTGTGACACAAACTTGTGCATTTTCTGTTTGCCCGTTTTGAGTTTTCTTTAAGGGCCTAGAAAACGTCATTTGAAGACGTCCCTCTTATATTATTGAGGGATGTAATCTTCCAATGCCATGCAAGCATGCTTTCAAAAAAAGTTGATGTTACTGGGTTGTTCCTTGTTTAACCTATTATTAACAAGATTGTCAGTATCTCTTACTCATTTTGTTTTGAACACTTTTGCATGGGCATCGGTAAGGGGAACAAATGGAGTAGTTGTCCCCCTCAAGCCTCACTGGCACTTGCACCAACCCAAGCTACACCAGTGCTTTCACCCTACACCAGCCATTTGCACCCCCCCCCGCCCCCAAGAAAGAATCCTGCCGATCACCATGTACTTACGACACCGATAATACAGGTGTGTTTTAGAGCTCATCTCTAGGCATGTGCTTTGGGTAATGCGGCGTCACTGTCTTCATTTGAGGCGTAACCGGAGGCGGAGATGGTTACTGTGCCATTCTGGAAAACCTCAAAAAAGGTTTCATTTTGCTGAGCGTTGGCGATATGGCAGAAAAGGCCTTTATCAGCAAAGCGAGCTGGGTAAGGACATCAAGAAGAGCTGCTTTCGCAGGGATGTCCACCTTCTTCTAGGTGAGTGTGATTTTATTTTTCTTGACGTTTTTGCTGGCCTGCATTTAGACGAACAAAGAAAGACACAACAAAAACATGTTTTAGTGTGTGTGTGTGTGTTTTATTTAATTATGTGCCGCAAGTTATCCGTGTGTTGTGTATGTTGGCGTGCTGCACCTGATACTGTGCGCTCGTGTCCCATGGGATCTTTCGATCGCGATCAAGACCGATCTGAATTAAAATGTCTCTATTATGTGCGGCTGCACAGCGACATAAGTTGTAGCTGCCACTGTTGATCACGATCAAAAAACAACATTCGGGTCGGCCCTGATGGCGCTGTAAATGTCTAGTGTGACACTGGTAGAGTTATTATTATATGAACAAGTCGACGTCGCTATTCCTGACGACCAACCTGCATTACATTGCATTTACTTATTGTTCGCGTGCAATAGTCACACATTCTAAGTTTTCATTTCTGTGTGGTTATTTATAACTGCCTGCTCTCTAACTTTATCTGTTCTCTGGTTAAACTATATTTACTGACCTCGTGCAGATGGAGAAAAAACAACTCGCCGTGCAACACAATCTTTTCTACCAGAGTGACTGCGAAAGGAGTGTCAGAACTTAGAAGGTAAATGTGCTTTATTAGTAAGACTGATTTTAACAACATAGACAAAATGCTAACTTCCTATGTCCTGGTTGCTTTCTCAAGCCGCATATCTATACCATAGTCGCTCATTCAAGTAAGTTTGTGCTAATGGGCTAAAAAAGGGTCACTCATCCTATGTTACACTTTTTTCCTCAAGTTCTGTTCAGTCGCGAAGTAGTAACCAGAGCGAAAATGCAGACTGCTTCATTTGGCAAGTTTAGGTACATATACCAGCTACATCTGTACATATTTGCCGTTTCGATTGAGACATTTGTCAGTGTGTAGCACCGACTTGTTTATTTATTTCACAATACTGCAGGCTAGCATAGCCCAAGCTGCAGTAGAATTACAAGAAAGGAGAATAGTACAGAAATAATTAATAACAATACAGGCACCACACGCAAATACGTCAGTTTTGCCAGGATGATTCTTACAAAAAAAAAACGACACTAATAGTTAGCAACCACACTTGTGACTTAGTGATGTGAGAGTCTCAGTGATTTAGTATTCAGCACAACAAATGTTGATCAAGGACTTCATCAGAAACTGTCTGCCTTGCACCTTCCTTTACTCTCTGCCTAGAAGTTCAGTAAGCGAGTCTGCAGCAAGCAGCAGAGCAGAAAACAGGACTGGGTGAAAGCACAGGCTTCCTAGCCAGCATTCTATGTTAGCAAAAGTATGACAATCAGAGATAGCTAAGGAGAGTCTGTATGGTGATGGGTGACTGAAAACTTCCCACTGCTTTCTCTGTGGCCCCATGTTGTCTTGAAAAAAAAAAAAAAAAAAGACAGTGTCTCATGACAACATATCTCTTTGCTTATTCTTAGACCTACAATTCTGCTGTGAGGGTCATGTCATTTCTCATAAATAAGTGAGGCATAAACTTGCAAAGGCTCATGAGATGCACACAGTCTGCACCATCTACTATTTCAATGGCTCTCCATGGGCTGTATCACTCCTCGGGTATCGGCGTTTATCAGTGTCACTCACTTTATTCATGGTAACCCAACGCGCATGCTGCAAATATCTAGCACACAATAGCACGGCCGCACCTACGACTGACCACGAAAAAGAAGCATGTGCTGTGATTGCAAAATACTATTTCA